GCGCTTGTTGGTTTTAAATCAATGCAGATTGCTGGCTGATAAACCGCCTGAGACCCTCCCCTCCCCAACTCCGACCCGGGGAAACAATCCCGCTTTCCAGGTGTGCCAGCAAAAAAATGTGGCCGAGAAAGAGGGTGGGGGCGAGGGGGAAGGAGTCCCCTCTTTCTCCTCATTCATTCACTCCCCCGGAGCCTAATTAAATTTGGCAGGTCCTTGTACACACAATCAAAACAGCTTCCTTCAGTGTCGCAAGCCTCCGAAAACCACATTAGCGGCAATTGCTGCCGCCAAATTAAATTGTTACCACCTTGAGCTGGAAGTGTCTAAATATCCACACCTTTTCTCCACCCCCCCCCCCGTCCCCTTGCTCCCGTTCACACCTGTACATGGTTCCTTCCCGTTTTCTGCCATTCTTCTTTTCACCACCCTTCCTCCCCCATCATTCCCCCACCCCCTCACCGAAGCAATACTGAGACGGGAACCCAGATAGTTGTGTCGGGATCTTTTGCCATAGCAAAATGTTGGTATTGATCCATTTGTGAAACCCTGTGCCACACACAGACACTGGGAAGAAATCGACCAGGTTACAGGATGGGGAAACAGGCAAACACCCGGGATCTCTCGCTGTGTGTGAACACATACGCACAGAGAAATCATCTTCCCCTACACTCCTCTGACTGTAACCTGGTCAATTTCTTATGCCTGCTTAATTATATAATTCAATCTTTCACACAGGTCTCCTTCCCTCAATACAGCAGCCTCGTTTTATACACACACCTCTATATGATTAATATATATGTATATAAATATATTGCTGAGGGTTTGAAAAATTGATCACACGTGCATTTTGCCCTTGCAGACGATGCAGATAAAGCGCGCGCGTGTGAAACTGACGAGATTATAGTATGGGGAAGAATTGATCTTCACCTGGTCCGTTCTTTACATGCCTTTTCTATCTAAATGCTGCACCCAGATCATCTCCCCATACAATAAACGCATCCACTCCTCGAGCGAGCCAGCCCCTACCCCCTTCACTCCTATTTCCATTGATTGCAGAGCAATCCGATGCCCGCGCCTGGTTGCAATTAATACCATTTGGTCGTTTGCATGAGGCCTTGCCCCCTCCTCGCCCTTCTTCATTAAACACGGGGCATCTTCCCCGCGCCCTAAGCTGTCCACCCGCATCCTCGCCACAGCCCGCACGATCCGCATCACCCACGTTCTGCAGGGCGAGAATTTGCAGGACCACGTGACACTCCCTAATGCACCCCAATAACAACAATCAATAACAACAAATAACAACAATTCGGTTTTAACAAGGCTAAAAAGAAGAAGAAGTAGTAGTGAAGCCTCATGAATATACGCCCAGGGCTAGCTGGAGTGAGCCGTTTAAAGATGAAAGTGCAGAGAAATAAAGGCTCAATTTAATCTGCCTTAAAACCCTTCAACTTAGCGTTTGTGCTTGGAACTCAGAGAGTGAGCACTGATTGCGGATAAATACATTTCTTAGCATGCCTGGGAGCTATTACACCCCTCTCCAACACAGCTCCCTATTCAGCGGCCACAGTTTTCATTACCAGCTCTAATAAGTCTTAACATTATTAAATGCCAAGCAGATGATAGAAAGAAACAGGCGCAGGGTGGAATCTTTCTTTAACACTGAAAAAGGGAGAGCATTTAGGGCTGTCTTCCTCCGGCTCCCTGCGAGGAGCGTCCCCAATAGAGCAAAGGCATTTGTCACGAGGAAAAAGCCCCAAAACAAAGTTCTCTGCCCCCCTCCCCTATCTCTTCTTGTTCCTCCTCCTCCCCCCCCGCATTTTTTTTTAATAAAGACCAGAGCCTTTTGTGGCTGTGCTTGGAAACTACCAAGTGCCAAGAGGTTGTCAGTCGTTAAAAAAAAAAGTTACAATTTTGGTTAAGTCGAGGTGAGATCTCTAAAGATTATTAAAATTGAGACAGACTGGAAGTCTCTCCCTCTCTCTCTCCGAAGTGTGCTATTAGTTACTTTAATTGGGGCCATTGGAAACTTCTTCGTACTTCAACAAAAGACGTCTAGATTGCGGTGAGATTTTGCATCTGTTTAAAAAAAAACCCCAAAAAACCCTCGCCTCCCGTCGCTCTAAAGACTGGGGAGAGCAGGTTAAATGCATCCGATCAGCTGCCGAAAACAAACCGGGGTTCCAAAAGGCGCACGCAGAGGCCTCCTACAAATGGCGGGGGCTCTATTTCGATATTCTGAGTAGCTAGCGGTGGAACAAACTGCCTGGAAACTTTCTTTGGGGGGGGGGGAGTGTCATTTAAAATCCCCAGCTGTTCTCAAATTCGCCCTTGCTTGAAAATGGACTGGGGTTTCCCCCCCATAAATAAAGCGGGGACCAGTTTTCTTTGATCCTGGGGAAAAATGTATATTTATTTGCTTATTGAAATTAATTTACCTTAGTAACCGGGGAAAGAAGCTGACAGCTATGTTTGCCCTTTATTCTTATTTTTTTTGGGGGGGGGGAAGGGGATAATATGATAGGTTTCAGTAGCAGCCGTGTTAGTCTGTATCCGCAAAAAGTACCCCTGTTCTTTTTTAGGGGGAAATATGTTTGCAGCTTTCTCACGAGCGCATGTATTTATTTTTTTCAAGCAAATAAGCTCAAACTAAAATCGTTAAAAAATATCGTAAGGGGGGGAATAAAATCGGAGACACAATAGGACTGATTTGCAAATGAGCATTGGTGCCTTCCAAATCACACGAAACATTTTGCAGCGTCCAACGGCTCGCCTTTTTCCAACAGACGGTCCTATAATATTACAAAACTATCTAACAGCAGGGAGTTTTGAATAATTTATCTCCTTTTCTTCCCCTCCTTGGCCCTTTGTCCAAACTTTTTCTCCTCCTTGCAGAATTTTGAATGAGAATGGACAACGCTCTCCCCCCCCCCACCCTTTACTCCATTTTTTTAAGGCAGCCTAGATTTAAAAAAAAAAAACTGTTTGCTTTTGTGGCCAGGAATCTTTTGCTTATAAAGCGTCAATAGACTTGAAGGTCTTTGTAAGTGAAATTCATCTTCAAGGTTGGGGGGTGGGGGAGAGGATCGGATCCTTAAAGCACCCCCTTTTGTGCACCTTTATTTCAAACTTGGAGTAATGTTTGATCATGACACTTGGAAGCTTTTTCTTCCCAATTTTACCCTCCCCCTTTCAAAACAAAATCGCTGGATTTCGATATTCCAAGTCACCCGCATTGTCTCCGCTCGGGGAAATGTTACAGCTGGTGAAAAAGATTGCAGGCGTGATCTCTTCCCGCACACAATTTTTGGAGGCTTCTGTGACAGAAAATAGCTATTTTTTCCCCTCTGACCCTAAATTCTGTCACTAATATTACTGCAAATCGTCCGAAGAAACCGCAATCTCTTCAAACCAAACCAGAAACCAAACCAAACCAACGGATTAAAAAAAGACCAACCAAAACCAGAACGCTTCAGAAGTTGCCAGTTTTCAGCTTTCTACCAATTTCATAGAAAACGATCGAAATCCTTTCGAAGGTTTTCCTAAATGGTCACCTTTCCTCTGAGAAAGCTGGTGAGATCCCTAGCTCGAGAAAAGAACGGCTTCCCCTTCAAATAAATACACGGGGTTCTCGCCCCCACCCCAGTGAGATAGGGTCTAGTTATGATTTAGAAGCCGAAACTATCCCGATCGGAAAATCCCAAACCGGATCTTTTCCTTTTCTCTTCAGTGAAAAAGGACCCGCGTCCTTCCATCAAGATCATTGTAAGTGGGAAAGAAACACAGATTGAAATGCATAAAACGACATTCCTCTCTCAAACTTTTTATTTACCCAACATCCAGTTCATGCTGTTTATTTGATAGCCTTATTCATGCTTGTTTCATGCATTTGCATTGACTTTTTTTGGGGGGTCCCAGAACCGTTTGGAATCAAAATCTAGAAACGGTTTAGCTGCAAACATTTTGATTCTGCAAACTTATCTTCCTTCCCCCCTACCATTTCCCTGGGCACAAGAACCGGTGTTTATAAAAGTTTCCAGTTTGCTCCCGTGGTCTTCTTACCCAAACCCGCGAGAGGCGATTGTAGACGGGAGATTTCAACAAACATTTCAAACCCTTTTCCCATCCCGCACACCAAATGGGCTAAAAAGTCTTTCCTCAATCACAGCAGATTTTTTTTAAAAGGGAAGATTTCTTATTACTGCTCATCTGAGCACCGTTACCCCACATTGGTCTCTCTCTGGTTAGCAACGGTGCTTTTGCTGGTGCCCCAAAGCAGAACATATCCCAGTCTCTCTAATTGATATTGATTGCCCAAATCGTTCAACTGTCAGCCAGAGTTTCAGGGGACCACTTAGATAGCAGGAGAAAAATCTGTTTAACAAATTCATTTAGGAATCTCTGATTCCCCCCCCCCAGCCCCTCCCTCCCTTCTCTATAAATAATTGATCCACAGTGACTGCAAGGAAAATCCCAACATCTCTTTTCTGGCATCTCAGATGGCTCGGGGAGAGGGCAGAATGGGATACAGGTACCCCGTTAATACCCCACGCGCGCCCCATTCCAAGCACCCATCTATGTACAATTTCATTAAGGCCTTTCTCTGCTTTCCTCTTCGACTTTTTAGAAAGGGCCCTGGGCACAGCTTGTGTCCTGTTTCTTTTAAACACTGGGGTGATGGGAGTAAAAAAAAAGGGTGTGGGGGAAGAACGGGGTATCCCTTGCCCCAACGCGCCTCTAAAGCACTTTCTTATATAGCCATTAACTTTTGACATGAGTGTCGATTTCTGAACCGCTTAATCACTAGAAAGAGGTGGAGAAGGGCAAAGTTTGCAGACATTCGCTGATGCAGGGGCCGGCCTGTTTCACCGAATTTTGCCCCGAACTCCAGTGCCAGCAAGATCGGGCCCAGGGCAAACCCAGCAGGCAACAGCGTGCCAATATTAAGCAAGTGACGCTGAATGCAGGCGGGGGAGCTCAGGTCTGGCTGCCCGTCGAGTTACCTTTGTCGCCCAAAATGCCGTCTATACTGTGCTTCGCCTTTTTCTCCCCGTCTTCCTCCTTCTTGTCACACTCCTCCTCTTCCTCTTTCTTCCCGAACTTGATTCGTAGCACCCGGCTAATCGAACTCACTAAACCTCGGACAGTCAAAGACAAAAGCGCAAATATAAGCTGGTTTGGAAAAGGGGGCGAAGCGACACAACCCGCCAACGCTTCCAAAGTGGAGCAAGAAGAAAAGCAAAAGAATGCAGCGAGTCGGCAAACACATGCCAGGAACACAAACGACACACACACACACACACAGACACGCACACACACACTTCGATGCACACAGAGCCATACACTTGCAAACACAAACATAAATATCCCCAGAAAAACACACACACACACAGACTTCGAAATTGACACTAGCATAAAAATCCACCGTCACCCATTTACACACTAACATAATCTGCACACCCACTCAGGACAGGAACGGACACCGACACACACAAATTCCCACGCGTTTCACGCACTCTCCTTGCACAAACACCGGTCACAGACGTGCACACCTCAAGTCACAAGCTTCGACACCGACACCCGCGTTAACACGAATGCACACTTAGCACTCTCCGATGTGCAATCACACGCATGCAGGCAATTACACACACGCTAACAGGCATGTATCACACACCCATATGCATTTACCTCTCTCCCATCACACAGACACAAATGCACACTTATCACACACATGTGCAAATCGCAGACACCCACATACAGAGGTACCCACACGGAAATACCCACTTACCCCACCCACGCTCCCACTCTCGAGAACACAAATCCATACACGGCATCCCCTTCCCCTTTGCTTTCCCTCCCTGAAGTCAAGGGGAGATTGATGGGGGTGTAGGTAGCGGGGGTTCAGAATCGGGCCCACTGCTGGTTTCCTTGAAACTCTTGCTTTTGAGCTACTTCCCCGGAGGGAAGTTTGGGCGTCGGGAGGGGGTTTGTCCTGGGGAGACGGGAGAGCCCTTGGTGCCCCAAGCCTCTGCTAATTTATTTTAAACTGAATTGAAAGACGCTTCCTCCCCCATCAGCTCTGGACATCATCGAGGGGAGAAAATCGTTCTTCCCCCGAGCAACTCAGAAACCCACCCAGGGGCGATTGAGAGAAACCCCAGGATGCTGGTGGGTGCTCCCTGTCCACCCCTTTTAGACTCTGTGGGGCTCCTTTGCTGTGGGACGGAACAGGCAAAGTCTCAACAGTGTCCTAAACTTGGTCTCCTTTCAACCACGGGTTTGATGTTTGCCTTGGTCCATGATTTGTTTGTTTGCGGAGAGAATTTAAATGTGCACTTTCCTGCTTTCTAGGTTCCTTTCTAGGGAACCTTTAGGTTGTTTTTTTTTACACATCACTTCTTTTTTTTGGACGCAGCTCCTGAGAGGATGTTGTGTAGCCTTTGGATACAGGCTGGGTGTCAGTTTGTGGTGGCTGCAGATAATCATGTCCCTAGATCTATTTCTATCGGGATGTTTTTTTCTGTGTGTGTGTGTATTTCTTGCCAAGCTGCCTTCTCACCTGAGGGAACAGTGCTCCTGTCACAGTGCCCATCTTTCAGGAGTCTATCTCGGATTTCCCAGCTAAACATCCCCGGATTCTCTCTCTTGTATTCCTCGATTTTCTTTTCCACGTCGGGAGTGGCAACCTGCTTTTGGGATCAATGGAGATCAGTGGGGGGGTGGGTGGGGGAAGAGGGGGTGCGTACGTGCAGAGAACGGAGAGGGGGGTGGGAGAGAGGGGAAAAATCACTTTTAATTTAAAAAAGAACCATACACTTTCCTAGACTCAGATTTCCCATCGAGGTCACTATTCTGGTCTAACAAGGAAGATATTTCATTCCACATAAAGGGGGGTGGTTAAATCTGCCTATACACCCCCCCCCCCCAAGAAACAACTTGATGCCAAAGATTCTTTTGTCCCAAGCTCTTCGCTGGAAATTGACAAGGGTCGATTCATGGTGTGTGTATGAAATCGAGTATCCGGAGAGGGGCCGGGGAGATATTTAGGGGAGATCTAGATTCACATCCACGCCACACCCCGATTGACCCATGTAAAGCATCCCTGAAATGCAAACCGGCTCCCCCCGGGAGGCACCGGGAACCGAAGCAAATGCTGGAGTGTGCCCCACTTGTTGCATGCGGACAATCATTCTAATGTATTCATTGCCTTCCACCCCGCACCGCTTCTCTCCTCATCTCCGACCCCCCGCCCCTGCAGATACATTTCATCCAAACAATGCATTTTAACGGGGGGTGAGGGCGCCTCTTGGCTTCTTGGGTTCAGCTTGGGGGCCCAGGCACCGATGGGAGAGTGGGTGCGTTCAGTGCATTGGAAATCGGAGTTGGTGGGAATTGCGTGGCGAACGCAGCCATGTGTTGATACCGATGGGCCCATCCGAGAAGGCTGCTCCTAAGCGATGCTGCTTGGGGGAATTGGGCTCCATCCGGGGAGCGCTGAACAGGTAGGGCCGGATCCTGCTGCCGTTGAAGCCAATGGGAGGAGGATGGGGGGAGGGAGTATTTTCCCATTGGCTTCAACAGCAGCAGGGTCAGAGCTGCCCTGGCCGGGGCTGCCTTTGCTTGGCTTTGCACTCACCCTGGGTTTGCTCCCTCCGATGGCTCCGGGGCGGATGGAGCCGGTCTCCTGATACCGGCAAAGGATTTTGGAGACGCAGCCATGAGAGACTCGCAGCTGTCGGGAGATCACGCAGGGGCGGATGCCGTGGTGGGCCATCTCCACTATCTTGTGGCGGATATGGTTTGGCAAAGGTCGCCCATTAATGAACACCCCCCCGAGCTGGTTCACTCGGCCCTGGCCCAGAGGAGTCGACACTAGAAATCAGAGGAGAAAAGTTGGGTCAGGGGCACACTGACAGCTAGACCATCTCTGTGCCTATGTACCCCCCCACCCCACCTCTCCCTTCTAGCTACACGTGCTTCTATTTGTCTCTATATCGCTTGGGCTTCTTTGGATGGCTGTAGATCTCTCTCGATCCCTTTCTCTAAACCTTTCCCTCTCTCTCTGTCTCTATAGATCTGTGTCTATATTTTCATCTGCATCCCTATATGTCCATCTGCCACCTGTATCTCTTTGTATTTTCCTCTATATAGCCATAGAATCGACAGCGAATGCAATATTCGCCTATCGAGCTCGGTGTCTTCTGAAGAAAATAAGTGCACGTTTTTCTATCGATCCGTAAAGATCACCCTTCTCCTCCCCAAAACGACCAATGTGTTATCACCGTTATATGGCTGTTGGTCCCCATATTTTAAATGCTACTGCAAACCGGCGAACCTAGCTTGGACATAGAACGGTGTTTAAACCGGTTTTAATCCAAAGTTCCCTTGCGCTTTTTTAGTGCCTGATCCATACCACAGAAAAGCGCATTAACCCCCCCCCCCACCACACACACACACTGCTAAAATGACCTCCTAAAAACCCCTGCTTCTTTCTTTGCTTTATGTCTATCTGGGGGAGAAGGAGGAGGATCTTTTTGTTAATTTCTAGGAAGCAATGCGATGGGAACCGTCTTCATATTTTAACAGCGAACGGTGCCAGCACAATGTTGGTTCTTTGCGGTGGCCCCGTTTTAACCGGGAATACCTTGCAGGGAGCCCGCATCCCTCACAAGATCCTAAGAAGAACAGGAGTACAAGATCCTAAGACAAAGTCGGCCGCATTTTCTTTCAGGGCCATGGGGGCGGCAGGCTTTCTAATCCCGGTCCGATACCCCCCTCCCCATTTGTTTAATATCTGGCAATGTATATCTTGCAGATTAATACAATTTCACAGTCTCGAAAACACCGAAGAACTCAGCTGCATAATTGGCGAAGAGGTGATGGTGGGGAGGGGGTAATAGGGCCGAGTTTCTCTTTGCAAAGAAAGAGAAATCGCCTCCCGATTTAATAAGAAGCATGCACCACTAATTCAAAGTCACTCGGCCGGCACTCGCTGGCTATATCATTAGCGACAGAGAACACTCGAGTGGCCAATTTTACATTCAAGAGGTACTAAAATCACCGGCCGCTCTCTCTTTTCATTATTCCCAGGCATGTTGTGCAAATATTGTTGTAATCCTTTGATCCTTTCCCTGGCCGTCTGTTTTACTTCATTTGCTACAGAAAAGCACTTGAGCAAATCCCCCTAGCTTGTGTGTTTTGCAGCCTGCGTGGGTTTCCATCGCTTTGAGTTTGGCCACTTGATCACGGCTTGCCTGAGCGTCTCTGGTTTAATAAATGCGGGGAGAGGGGTCCCACTCTGAATTTGCCTCTGCTAAACACCAGCAGGCGGGTGAGAAAGCATACTAGTATTAAAAGTAATGTGCAGACACACACACAGTGCAAAGGCAGATACAGCGAGAATTGAATGCAGCAACGCTGCGAGGTGGGGGGAATGACACCTCGTCTGACAGCTTCAGGGGCCTCTCGGGAGCTAAAAAGCCCCCAAACATTGGGCGGCAGTTGCAAATGGGCCCCTTTCAACCCTGAGCAGTGACCTCCCCTCCCTGGAGCCCGGGCTGGCTCCGGTCTCCGGTTCTGGGAAAGCCGCTTCGGAAGTTTGAAGCGACCCAGGTCGGGAACGAAACACAAAGTTTGGGGAGAAGCTCGGAAGAGTGTCCGTCTAAAGGGTGTGAGATTTGGAGAGACAAACCCGGCATGGGTGGGGGGGAAAAAACCACCCCACGCTAGCTAAAGTCAATTAGCGGGCAAAGAATCATTACCGGCTGCCTCAGAAAATCAAATGAGGAGATCTGCCCCCCAACTCAATGAGGGTTGAAAGTTACAGGGTAATTAGGGGGGATCACACCATCCGCTGCATGTTTCCCTCCCCCTGGACGCTCATGCTGCATTATGGCCCTGGCTGGGAGGCAACTGTCCCCACACAGCGGTCGGCTCTTTAGAAACGAGTCATTTAAGATACCCATAAAATCCTACCTTCCAAAGGAAAGCCGGTGCGGGGGTAGTTCTGTCCCGGCGCGGGGCGCATCATTCTGGGAACTGTCCCTGGTAAAGTTGCCATTCCGGAGTCAGTCTGGGGCGGCTGGGTTTCAAACACACACACAAATCAAAGCCAGGCCACCCCCTTTTCTGGGCTGAGCGAAGCGAAGTCCCGCGAGCTGCCGCAGCCGGCTCGGTCTTCTCCCTCCGGGAAGGCGCAGGACTCTCCTTCACAAACAACGGGGAAGTCTTTTGCTCCGACAGAGAAAGTTGGGGGGGGGGAAATCACCCCCCCAGAAATTCTTCTTAAAGTCCCAGCGACGTGGTTCAGCTGGACTGAGATTACGCTCTTCAGGAATGTAACACACCGACTAGAGGGAGAAGCGGCCACATCCCAAGTGGTCTTAGTGCTGGGCTGGGCTTCTGGGGGACTGATTCCCCCCCTTCTGTTTTATTGTGTTGTTGTTGTTTTGTGTGTGTGTGTGTGTGTGTGTGTTGTGGCAGTTGGTGATCGCTTAGGGGATGGTTGTCTTCAGGAGAGGAGGGTGATGGGGAGGGGGGGGGTTATGTCAGCTGGAAGGTTTGGAAGTTAAAGCGCCTAACTTTGGCGCATTGGGTAGGAAGAGCGAGAGCCCCAAGTGAGCTGTGATAGGCTCCGGCGTCTTTCTTTTATTCACCAACAGGGGAAGGGGCACTGCTGTGGGGCGGAGGGACCAATAGCAGAAAGCAGCTTCCAAACGCACAGGCATATATAGGGGTTGGGGTTGGGAGTTCAGTCCTAGGCTTGGCCTCGTTTGCAGGGAAGGCGGGGGGGGGGAGAAAACTTTGGGAAAGTATCTCCGGGGGGTAGACAACTTCCCTCCCCAGCGCACGGGGCTTCAGCTGAAGGAATCTTTACGCGCCAGCGTTATCCCCCCGAAGGGCAGCCCAGAGCCCCCGGCCTGCCCCCTTTCTCAATCCATCAGGGGAGGTTTTGCCATGACTAAGGACCCAATAAACCCATAACCCAAGAAACCCTTCTCCCCAGCCTCCAGCGCGCCCGCGCCTCTCCCGCTGGCCCGCTTTAGGGGATCTCTCTCTCTCTCTCTCTGTCACTTGTTTGAATCCGCCGACCAAACTTCTCCCCGAAGCAGGTTGAAAATTAACCTCCCCCAAAGGCGGGGAGCAGAGAGATGAGTCCAGTGCGAATGTGCCTGGTGGGAATAAATGGCCATAAAGACCCGAACGTAACCGCTTTGTATGTGTGGATATAAACCAGCCCTTGACGCCTTCACAGCCAAACGCTACAACCCCCTTTCCCTGCCTCTTTACGAGTTTCCTTCGCTGCCATTTAAACCCTATTCACGTTTGTATGGGGGCTTTCTCCTGTTTTATCCCCCCCCCCCCGCCAAGCGCCTGGCCCGTGGAAGTCCCGACTGCTCCTCTCCAGACCTGGGGACACGTTTCTCTCTTGTCTTAGGAGACCCTCCACACCGATCTGGGGGTATTTTGGTGTCGGGGAGGGGTAACCCAGGAGTCAAATCCGGGGAAGAGCAAAGTCAGTAGCCAGGTGGAGTGGGAGGAGGCCAAGGGAAGTTGTGTAAAAACCTCTCCTAAGGATCCGGGCAAAGATCACGCCGTGGTCTATGAACCCAGCCCCACGCACCTTCGCTTGGCACTTTCTTGGGTTGCCCGGTGTGGCTGGCTCATCATTCGTGTTTTAACCGAGGAAAGGCAGGTTCGAAACAACCTGACTCCGGGGTCCCTTTTCCCTCGGCCCTTTCTTCTTCCCGCCCCTGGGCAAACAAAACTCCTGCCAGGGGAGAGATGCCTCCAGGGAAAACATTTGGCAGGATCGGGCCCTGCTTTCGAAGGCGCTGCTGAGCGCCGGGGGCGTTTGCCACCGAGCTGCTTGCGGGCCCTCCCCCCCAGGTGCTATCCACTAGCGTGAGGTGGAGCCTGGGCTTCCCCACGGGGGATTGTCCCGCTGACCCGGGACAGTTTGAACAAATAGCAAATGTTTCCCTTGAAGGTGGCTGCTTTGGGACTTGAAGGGAACAAAACTCCTTCTCAGCAGGGAATGACGCCAGGGCTTTGCGGAGTCTTTTGTTTGCATCTGTAAAAGGACTTTTCCTGGAAATCACGGAAAACTTTAAAAAAAAAACTACACTTGCAGCGTTTCTTTCTTAAAAAAAATTGGTTGCAACCAAAATCAGGTCTCCCAAACCCTCTCCCCTTAAATAGGACCCCCCTCCCCAACGAAAAAGAACATCCCCGTTGGAAAACCAGCCAGAGAGACAAATTCCCAAGCAAATACAGGTTTCTGATCACTTTCCCCTCCTGTTTTGTCTTTTCCAATAATAATTAATATGCGGCCAGATACGTGATGGATCCCAATCTCTCTCCCAATAAGGCAAGGGCGCACCAGCGTCTGCCCCCGCCTAATGAAAAGTCCCCTCCAACTATTCGTCCGGCCTCCCACTAGAAAAGTTCTCCATGCCTGAGGCGTTTGAGGTTGACAGTCTAAAGCTGCAATCCAACAATTAAAAGCGACCCCTCCACCACCACTTCTGCTTCAATTTTTCTATCATTCACACATCTCCCACCCCCGGCCTGATAGATCTCAGACACTTTGCAAGGCACACAAGGACAAGTCCTCCCATTAAAAGCAGCGTTGAGTCGAAACATTGCAACTTTTTTTTAAACATTGCA